CGGTTCATTGGCACCTGTCACACATTTTAACAAAGGCATGTGCATCCTTAAACAATTTTGGCCAATAGAAACCTGATTGTAGAACTTTCTGGGCGGTCCTATCACCACCATGATGACCTCCGTATGGTGAGGCGTGACAGTCATGAAGTATGGCATTCATCTCCTCCTCAGGAACACATCTCCGCACCAACTGATCTGCACAGAGCCTGTATAAGAATGGCTCATCCCACATGTAAAGCCTCACATCATGCAGGAACCTTCTTCTATTATCTGGTGTCAACTCTGGTGGTGTCACCCCACTTGCAATAAAATTCACATAATCGGCATACCACGGGGCTGTGCTTGAGGCAATCGCCAATAACTGCTCATCAGGGAATGTTTCTTTGATTACACCCCCTTCAGCTACATGATTCCGATTTTCTAATCTGGACAAGTGATCAGCCACTTGATTCTCTGTGCCTTTGCGATCTCGGATCTCTAAGTCAAAGTCTTGCAAGAGGAGGACCCACCGAATCAGTCTCGGCTTGGCGTCTTTCTTCTCAAACAGATACCTGATAGCTGAATGATCCGTGTAGACGATGACTTTGGTCCCCACTAGATATGATCTAAACTTGTCAAACGCCCACACCACTGCAAGCAACTCTTTTTCAGTAACTGTGTAATTCATCTGGGCTGGATTAAGAGTTTTGCTCGCATAGTAGATGGAGTGAAAGATTTTATTTCTCCTTTGCCCCAGCACAACTCCCACAGCTATGTCACTCGCATCACACATCAACTCAAAGGGTTGCCCCCAATCCAGGGCAATGATAATTGGTACAGTCACTAGCTTTCCCTTCAGCTCCTCAAATGCTTTTAGACAGACATCATCGAACTTGAAGGGGACATCTTTCTCGAGCAACCTGCACAAGGGAGAGGAAATTTTCGAAAAATCTTTAATGAAACGACGATAAAAACCTGCATGGCCCAAGAAACTGCGAATGCCTTTGACAGATGTTGGTGGAGGCAATTTTTCAATCGCTTCCACCTTTGCCTTGTCCACCTGCAAACCATTTTTAGACACCCTGTGCCCCAAAACTATACCTTCACGTACCATGAAATGACACTTCTCCCAGTTTAGCACTAAGTTAGTTTCTTCACACCTAGCAAACACTTTATCGAGATTCATCAAGCAGTTATCAAAAGAACATCCAAACATAGAAAAATCATCCATGAATACTTCCACAAACCTCTCGACCATGTCAGTAAAAATAGCCATCATACACCTTTGAAAAGTCGCAGGTGCATTACAAAGACCAAAGGGCATTCTCTTGAACGCATACGTGCCATAGGGGCACGTAAATGGTCTTCTCTTGTCTCCGGCTATAGAAATCTGATTATACCCCGAGTAACCATCCAAGAAGCAGTAGTACTCCTGGCTAGCTAATCATATCAAGCATTTGGTCAATAAATGGGAGGGGGAAGTGGTCCTTCCGGGTGGCATTTTCATTTTTCTATAATCAATGGCAAATTCTCCACCTAGTGACGGTTCTTGTGGGGATAAATTCATTACTTTTCATCTAACTACTTACAGTCATCCCCCCTTTCTTGGGTACACATTGAACGTGACTTACCCATTTGCTGTCTGAGATAGGAAATACAATACCTGCATCAAGCCACTTAATCACTTCTTTTTTACCACTCTTTCATGATTGGATTTAGTGGCGTTGTTGCTCTACACTGGGCTTGTGTCCATCCTCCATGAGGATTTTGTGCATGCAAAAGGCTGGACTAGTGCCCTTTATGTCAGAATCGTCCACCCAATTGCTCGCTTGTGCTCACGTAGCACTCTCAACAGCTTCTCTTCCTGCAATTTAGACAAGTCAGAAGAAACAATCACAGGTAAGTGTCAGATTCACCCAAATAAGCATATTGAAGGTGAGGTGGGAGAGGTTTAAGCTCCAATTTTGGGGCTTCCTCAATGGACGACTTTGGGGGCGGCCCTTCTGGCCTGTTCAAAGGCTCAAAGGGGTGTACCCCTTGCATGTACGCACAAGATGTATCTAAGATTTGCATCATCTCCTCAACCTCATCATCACTCCCCAAGCTATCAAACAACATAAGTGCTTTCTCTAGAGAGTCGTCTAGATATACACTTGTGTCAAGAATTTGCTCATCAGCCTCAAAAACAGATATCATTGAGACCTCCTCATAGTGGCGGGGGAGTTGGATTGCTTTGTACACATTAAAGATTGCTTCCTCGTCATCTAACCTCAAGATCATTTTTCCTTCTCTCACTTTGATAATTGCATCACCAGTAGCCAAGAGTGGTCGCCCCAATATGATTGGGACCAGTTCGTCAGCCTCATAATCCAGGATAATGAAGTCAGCTGGGAAGATAAATTTTCCAATTTGTAGTAGTACGTCTTCAATCACCCCCTCGGGGTGTACTATAGATCTATCAGCCAGCTGCAACATCACAGTAGTTGGCCTTGGAGCTCCCAGGCCCAATTGCTTGAACAAGGATAGGGGCATCAGATTTATGCTTGCCCCCAAATCACAAAGAGCACGTCCCACATCAATATTACCAATTCGCACAGGGATGGTGAAGCTGCCAGGATCCTTAAGCTTTTGAGGAAGCTTATTTTGGACCCTCGAAGTGCACTCCTCAGTAAGTGCAACTGTCTCATATTCAGTCAATCTTCTCTTGTGAGCCACTATATCCTTTATGTACTTGGCATATTTTGGAATTTCACGGAGCACATCAACAAGTGGAATATTCAATTGAACCTGGCTCAACATGGAGAGAAATTTGCTGAACATGCGATCATCATTCTTTTTCTGCAGTCTCTGGGGGAAAGGGGGTGGTGGCCTTGGGGCCCCCACTGGCTCTGGAATTTCAGCAGCATTCTTTGGCTCTTGTGTTACTTTAGGGATCAACTCCCCCTCAGGTATGGGCATATCTTTCCTCTTCTTTGGCACTTCCTCTAGCTCCCTCCCGTTTCTAAGTGTAACAACATTCACTTGAGGGTTCTTCTCTGTATCACTTGGGAGAGCGCCTGCAGGTCTAGTGTTTTGATTGGTTGCTAACTGCCCCATCTGCCTCTCAAGGTTTCTGAAATCGGTCCTAAGCTGCTGATTATCAATCAACAACTTCTTTAACAAATCATTGGTGCTTTCTTCCATTTGTTGGGGTGGTCTTTGAGGTTGATTGAAACCCCCCTGGGGTCTATGCTGATTCTGTTTCTGCTGATTTCCACCCCATGAGAAGTTGGGATGATTCCTCCAATTTGGATTGTAAGAATTTCCATATTGAGCATGCTGATTCGGGGGACCTCTGTTCTGTTGCCCCACATAATAGATGGATTCTGGATTTGTGGGGCACATGTCACTCATATGATTGTCACCATATAATTTGCAGCAAATAGCCATTTGGTGCACAGGTTGCATTGTTTGTGGTTGCTGCATTGTCATCCTATTCATCTGATTGGCCAGCTTTGCAATATCGGCTCTCATGGCTGACAAGTCGTCGAGCTCAAGTAATCCAGCTGCTTTTTGCTTAATTGCCCGTCGTGAGTCACCCTCACCTTGCCAGTTATTATCATTAGCCGTGAAGGTATTCAGCAAGAGTTGGATTTCACTGTACGGTCGGGCCATGCAATTACCCCCACAAGCTGAATCAAGATTCATCTTTGATGCATCATCTAACCCATCTACAAAAGTGTGGCCCAATACCTCGTCCGTCTGACAATGATGGGACAATCTCTGAGCATCTTCTTGTACCTTTCCCATGCTTGACGAAGTGTCTCGCCAGCTCGTTGTTCGAACCCAAGAATTTGACTCCTCAATACCTTTGTTTTCTTAGTGGGGAAAAACTTGATTAAGAATTTCCTTGCCAAATCATCCCAAGTGCTTATTGAATTCGCTGGCTCCTTATTCAACCACTCCTTAGCCTTTCCGATCAGAGAAAAGGGGAAAAGTGTCAGCCTGACATAGTCCTTGGAAACATTCGGATAGTTGTAAGTATCCGTAATTTCCAGAAAATTCTGAATATGCCTCTACGGGTCTTCATGAGGTAGACCCACAAATTGCCCTGTGGACTGGATCAGCTGCACCATATATTGTTTCAGCTCAAAATGCCCAGTGATATCAGGCTTCACAATAGCCTGAGTCATATTAGCCATATTGGGCCTTGCGGCTTCAATCACCGCGCGTTCCTCATTACCTGCCATCTCAAATGGCTGTGGTTGAACTACGATGTCCAACTCTCTTTCAATTCTGGTTCTAGCGTCCACCTCCCTCCTCAATCTGTGAAGTGTTCGTTCGATTTCGGGATCGAGAGGAAGGAGATTGTTTGCGCTTCTACTTCTTCGCATTCAATAGAAAATCCTGTATTAGCACAAACAAAGTGAACTGAAAGTTAAAACTCGAATAAATAAATAATAAAAGCTCAATTCAGTCAAGTAGCTAATTTCTAAGTCCCCGACGATGGCGCCAAAAACTTATTGCGGCCAAACACACTCACGCAAGTGCACGTGATCGTAAAGTAATAAAGTAGTGAGTAGAGTATCGTTCCCACGAGGACTTGTGATTAACCATTAACTAAATTAGACTATCCTAATTATCTATACAAGAATTAAACCTAGAAGTATTTGATTCTATACGAATTAAATAAAGAAATATAAATAATGAACTTTAAACAGAGGAAGAGCAGATTTTTATGATATCAATGTAATGAAAACGATCTAGGGTTATGGGCTATCTAACATTCCTATTGTATTTTTCAATTGAATTGACTAACTAATTTAACGAGTTTATTGATTGACAGGGTTAATATTGCTCATAAGAATCTGTCGAGTTCTTACTCGCCTATTCAAGCTAACCTAACGCCTATATGTCTATGGAGTTAGAATCAACAAGAACACATTTATAATTCCTGTATTTCAACCAAGCAAGGCAATTAGGTATATGTCTATCCTAATTGCGAATCCGTTCCCTGATGTCCAGGTTCAAGAACTTGCTCTATTTAATTCTATTGCAATCTAAAGTTCCCACTTTCGTGTTCAACCAAAGATTCGTAGATAGTATTTCACTGTTAGCTACTCAGCAAAATAATTAAAATCAGAGTTAAATAAACAACCCAATATGATAAACCAACTTTGTCGAATTAAACGTCAAACAACAACTTTCATGTTTCACCCATGACCCTAGAATAATAGAATTTAGCTACTCATACTAATGTTCAACACAATAGGGTTCAATTTCATCACAAATAGCAAAAACAAAGGGAAGAAAAGAAGAACTTGATGATCAAATCTCCTCCTTGCCTCTTGCCTCTCTATTCTTTGTACTAGATTATGAAAAACTTGATTATTACTCCTTGGGCGAGCTTGAGTTTATATAGGTTAAGTGGGGTTTCCTCCAGATTTCCAATTTTACCCCTGAATAAACCTTCCGAAATTTGGACTAGTGCGATCGCGCACCTGGGCGCGCATCTGACCGCGCTAGTTGGCATGTGTTCTGTCTTGGGCGCGCACATTTTAGCGCGGGCGCGCACCTGGGCGCGCTAGCCCAGGTCTTCCTTTTTTTTGATTTTCTTCCTCGTCTTCGTGCGTACTCAGCTCCGAGGGGTCATTCTTGCTCCAAAATAGTTCCAATCACCTTTCTAAGGCATCACATAGGCTCCTCGTCCTGCAGTATGTAAAAATCACAATTAGAGCCCATTTTTATTCAATTAACCACATTATAACATTGGAACATAATCAAGCGTGGTTATAAACAATCGCTAAATCACCTATATTCAGCCTATTATTACATAATAAATACTATATCCAAACCAAAATTCATGGTTAATAGTATATATCCCAACATCCATCTATCAATGCAATCCGGAAAAAATGACAGTCGCCGCGGACTGGGGCGGAGGCAGAATGCGAGATGCAGATTCGGCAAAATCCAATGGCTTTTGCTTAAACTATATATTTGTCTTAAAAATTTCGTTGAATATATATAACTCAATAATTTAAAATCTAGTAACTTAAAAGATATTACAATTCTAAACCCATAAGATTCAAACCTGGCTTTGCCTATGGCCACAGAACTCCTCAGCTTGTGCCCTCTCCTCTGCTGATGGTTAAGCCATCACCTCCACCAGTTTTCTGTTCTGGGTGTAACGACATCACCACTACTAACAGCTTTAACTGACTTCTTCCATTTTCTTAAACACAAAGAAAATACGTAGCACAATAACATCAAATTTCAAGCTTAAAAACTCAAAACAAAAAATCAAAAATCACTTCAGATGCAGAGAGGCAGATCAATAGAAATCTCAAAATATCAAATTAAAACTTAAAAATGAAAATCCGGATCAAAATGAATTAAGGAAGAATGAGTTTCTCGTTCATTTTTAGCTAATTCTCGCGATTAGGTTGCATCGAAAAGATGCTTCTTCGGAGAACGAGCTGTTTATTGGAAGGTCCAAATTTAATTGTTTAGTGCTTCTGAAATTTTTACGACAGCTAACAACAATTCTTGATGAAATAAACAAAAGACGGATCTGGTGGTAAGCAATATCTTGTAGTTTTATAAGTGGGGTTTGAAGAAGAAGTTAGACTTGTATTTTTTTCTCTCATTACATATCTTTACGATAGATTTGACTATCGACAATAGATTAAGACAATAGATTTGACAAAGACTGAGATACTTTTAAGTGAAAAATATATGTTGCATGAACTATATGTCACGCTCCGAACTTGGGCCTCGACGTAACATGACACCCGGTGTCTGACTACATGTGACCGAGCAAACCAACTGACTGGATGAATCATAATGTGATATCATAACATACTGAATGCAGAAGATAAACTAACACATACTGATATACTGAAAGTCTGAATGATATAAATAAAGTGCACAAATACTAACATAAGCCTGAAACATATATGTAGCCAACATTGCTTAGCATGAAAAGCCCGTGACTCGATCTACCTGTTACTCTAGTCTACGAAGCCTCTAATGAAGTACTGAAAAATACTGAATGTCTATAAATACTGAAAGACTGTAAAGTAATGATAATGCCCCGAAAGAACTGGAGCTCACCACATAGCTGGTAGGAGAATCCTAACGCTCTGAATCGTTAACCTACAAATCATTACATGCATCGTGAGATGCAGGCCCCGGGCAAAAGGGACGTTAGTACTTTGAATTGCACTGGTATGTAAAGCAACTAAAAGAAATAATTGTAAACGTATATATAACTGGGGCCTCATGCCCAAAGATTCATAAAGCATAAACTGCAGCCTTAGGCCCAAACATGCATAAAGCATAAATTGCGGCCTCGGCCCTCAATACAGGTGTTCAACATTCAGGGATTTAAAAACAGGAACTGAGAATTGTGCTATAATATATGACACTGAAATACTTAACCATACTGAGTTACATGATACTTGAATGCTAAATAGAACTGGGCTGAGACATATATTTATGAACTGATTATGAAAACTTAAACTTCAACTATTTATGACATGCTGAGTAATCTAGACTGAGACTCATGACACCAAACACAAGTCTATATTGATCACGCATTGATCTCACAATGTACAGAATGAAAGTCATGAATGATTACGAAACTAGAGAAAGAAGTTTTGCAACTATTCAAGGAACTAAACTTAACTATATTTCTGAAGCAATTAGTAATGTTATAAAGAAACGTAGTGTAGGGAGAATCATTAACATTCCCAAACATAGAGAGTTAGCCTCACATATCTTAACTTCCTACTCTTGAGCATAATACAACATCCGCCAACCCCTTCAACTTTAATTTATAGCAATACAAGCCAAAGTGATTCCATATTAACAATAATACTCATATTTTTGTCATTTCTGCATTTTATCAAACACCTTATGGGTGTAAAGCTTCATAGTTACTAATGGTGTTTCTACACCCAACAAGCCATTCTCTTGCTCCTAGATAAATTCTAAAATCTCAAATTTCTTATAATCAATATCATTCTTCTTCACTCATAAGATAAACAACACCTTTAACCAATTATCAACAATTAATAACCCAAACTAATAATTTTTCCTGATTTCTATCAAACCCATCAACTCATATCTCATGAACATAGAGTTTATAATCATTAATCCAATGGTATGATCAATCAGAAGGTGAAGACATTACCTTTTTGAAGTTCAATCCTCTTGAATTCGAGTTCTAGGGTTTCTTCTCTCAATAATGATGCCACAACCGAATATCTAATGATGTGAAGGGCTTACCCATATTAATAAGGTGTTGGAGAATTGAAATTAACTTGTAATCACCATTAGAACTCACCTTGGATGGTGGAGGGACCTTTGAGGAGTTAGGTTCTTTAATGCTTCCCTTTCTAGAGCAAGTTCTTGTATTTTGGGGTATGGGGGATGAGGTAGGGCTTATAAAATGACCCCCGGGTACGCGACGCACACCTCAATGTGCAACAGGGAAGTAGCACTGCCACAAGTGCGCATCCACGCATGAGACCATCCGGGCGCGCACCTTTGGTCACGTACTGTGTATTGTCTAGTAAAATGCACATAATATTTTGTACAGAGATCCGTTCGGTGCCACAATATAACGTTGGAAAGATTTTTTAAAGGGCTACAACTTTCATGTTTTATGTTTTCTCAAATTTGTAACATATTTTCACAAAATCTTTCTATAATAAAGACCTTCCATAAACTTAATCGATTTTATCGAATCTTATGCACCTCACTCTCCTTGATTCCCAAAAAACTATTTCCACTCATACTAATCC